GAGGTTTGAAGGCCTGGTTGGGCCAAAGCGGAAGCCGTCCCGGATTTTAAGCCTCGGCCGTGCGCGTCGTAGGCGTGCCACTTGCCACTACATCACCTCCGCCTTTCTTCTAGTATAAAAGAACATATTGCCAGATCACTCTGTGAACTGAAAAACAGGATGAAGGCAGCGTAGCTAAGACCAGCATACATTTTTGAGTACCAAACGGAACTTTTCCGAAGAAAATCCGAGCATGATGAAGTTAGTTCGAGCACATACTACATGAGAGGACGCAATGAGCGGTGACCTATCGAATAGTGGCGAATGATGAGCTCTCTTACTCACTCACTTTCAAGTACGAGTAAGTACGTACGAGACTAAGAACCAACCTAGCTTGTACAAGGGGAGATTCCGCTCTTTACAATTAGCTAAATACAGAACGTTATACGGCTTTATGAGTGCTTGGCTTTCTGATCAACAACTGTTTACAGTGACTCGCGAATGATCTGAACATCGGATGCCGTGAGCAAATAGAAAATGGTAACCAAAGCAGGTTTCAGCACCTCATCATTGTTTTAAAAAAATGAAAAATTATGGTTACCAAGTGAATGGTCAATACTAAAAGTTGCCAAGTGCATAGGTTTCATCTGATCGGATACTCTGAGGGACAGAGTGCAGAAGCTTTTCAACTTGCACCATAAGGCAAACAAGAATGTGTGGGTACTCGCTCATCACGAGACTTTAGCAGTAGTGATTTGTGGAGGCATCTTCACTGCTCCTTATTATTAGGACGGGAAGTCCTGCGACACTTTGATTGAATTGTTTTAGAAAAAGACCAAAAAACATTTCGATGTTTTTCATCCCTGATTAGTGGAGACTGTCCTCTGGGGTTTCTGCAAATGGGTATATCATGACTTTGCAGAAGTTTTCAAAGCTTAAAAGTCCCTCAGAGGTCGAGATACTTCCCGACCTATTATGAGTTCGTGTAGGGTCACTCCAGCTTAGTCGAGAGAGCTACCACCTGCGTTATCTTAAGGAAGGATGTCGCTTGCCATGGCAGAGGGAAGGTTTTGCATCAGCGCTTCCGAGATGGAGTTATTGAATTCGGAGGTGGGTAATGGGTCACCAGCACAGAATGACGGACTTTTTCTCAAGCTTCTTGAGGCGCAGCCGAATGTAACCACCAGTAAGTTGGCAACCTCTCTAGGCTCCACCTGACTGACAACTGCCATGCTTCTCTGCTATCTCGGTTATCGCGAAAATTGTTTGTGAAGGTATCCATGATCGACTTTCAATGAATCTTGGCATCGTGTGAGGTCCTTTCTGATAAGATGTTGAAACCACCGCCAAGATATTACAAGTTTATTTGGCTAACGTTTCGGCCTTGTCGCCTTCGTCTGAGCCTGGAAAGTCAAAGAAGTGAGAGGGACAGAGGGAGGGGGAAGTGTTTGTGAAGGATGCCTCATGAGTTGGACCCGTCTGACAAGCACCCAATGATTGTGACTGAGTTTTCTTTGCTTGTACACACTGGAAGAACATTTGTGAGATCTTGTGGTTGGTAGCGAGTGGTGGAGTCCTTGCGTACATCATGCACATGTCCCTCGCAGGATCTCTCAAACAGAAAAGTAGATTGCTTAGCCAAAAGCAGATGTGCATGGGATAAAGATTTCAGTGTTATTGGTGGGACTTCAAAGCGATATCGCTGGATACTAGCACAGCTGTGAGGAACACAGTCCACTCTAATCAACTTCAAAACATGGATGACGTCACGCTTGAATTCATTCAGAAAATACTCAATTTTTCTACTACTCGGCAATGCGAAGACCGCATGTGGGGATCAGGCTACGCCAAAAGATCATGGATCTCGGACAGAGAATATGACCGTACCCAGCTTATTTATCAAGTATAGTAGGGATCAAAGGAGCCGGTAGCCTCTAACTACCAGCTCCTTTGATCCCTACCGCATCCTTTAGAAAGCAAAAATTCCGAAAATCGACGTCTACTCGAAAATGAGGTCCACCTCTTCTTTTTATCATAGTTGCCGTAGTTCTATGAGAATGGAAATGAGAAGCTGTGCAAAAGAGGGCACTAGTCCTAGTCATCAACTGTGGTTACCTTGTAGATTGGAGGTGTCTTTTAGTGAAGGAAAAATTTAGTCCGAAAACTTGGTCAAAGTGTCGCAGGACTTTCCTTCTAACCTTATAATAACGAATGTCTGTGTTCAGCTTAGTAAGCACATCCCAAACCAGTTGCTCATGTCTCCCAAAGTCCAAAAAATGAGGAAGTGTCAGAGGAGAAGGAAAACAATGAAGATAATCTAGAGCCTACAAACCTTGCGAAATCTACCTTCCCTTTAAAAAAACTACTGCAGAGAAACAAGTGATGGATTGCCTCCACCAAAAATTCAACAAGCTTTGTTCTGACACAGTGGCCGATCCGATCGTCATCAAAACTCCTTCTGCATATAAATTCTCAACGATATTTCCCAAAGCACCATTTCTCCTTACAGTTACCACATACGGATCTATCATGAATGCTGTTGCTACGAAGAAACTACATACATATAAGCTCCAAATTGGCTCTCACAACGACCTTAGCGAAAACATCCACAATGTAGGATTGTACAAACAGATTCACATGTGCTACCGTTTTGTACTCGATTGGCCCATAATTGTGGCACTCTTTTTTAACTTGAAAATTTTGTCAAATACGAGATGGTTTGCCAATGAGTTTTGGAAAGTCTGATACAGAATTTCTTTACTTCATGAAGAGATGGCCTTAGTTTTCAAGTGATTCTATCTCTAATAATTTCAGAAGCTCGAAGTGGAGTGTCTCTGCAACTTTCAAAAGTATAAGGCGCATCTATTTGCGTGATCGCCACAAATTTCTATTCACAACCACCGTTTTCTAGTCTTTGTTGTATAGTACTCTTCTGATTGCCTTAAAAAAATTACTATTTGAAATAGATCACCTACATAGATAAGAACAAACAAAAAACACGCAAAAAGGAAAGCCCAGAAAACGTTAGCTACATCAGCGGCGCAGGTGCACTCTATACCTTAGCAAATGTGGTAATAAAAAAAGCCTACATCGTAGAGACCCATTTATCAAGTAAATGGGCATGAAGTAGTATCTCGTCGAAAGGCACAAAACGGTTTAAACGACTAAACAATTTCACTTTCGACCTCACAGGCAAGCTTCGCACCGGATGTCCTTTCCCTCGTCAGACTGGATGCGGTTGGGAGCCTAACGCAAACTGGTAGAGGTCATGACATGGCCCAACATTCTCGGTGAGCACCTTCTCCACGGTATGGGATAGGTTCAAAAAGTGCACAAGTATAATGTTTTCTCAGTTTTCAGAAAACCGAATTCTTGGACGAAAAATTTTGCATTCCTTCAGAAGACAACGTTAGAATTTCAAGCAATATCCCAATAAGGCAGTAAGGAAAAAGAAACACCGACCACCTTTTTCAGTGAAAAAAGCGGTGAAACATACGGTTGCTCAGAACAGTTCAAAAACCTTAAATAAATAACTCGTAAACATACCATAATGAAAAAGTAACTCACTATGATTGATCGATGAAAAAGCATGAGCTGATCCTCTGCTGTTGAAGACTTTTCCTCGCGCACCATTTCTCTTACACCTTGCTCCTTCCCAAATTCTCGCTGAATCCGTGAAGACGACTGAAACAATGTCTCCCAGTGCACACACTAGTCTCGCTTAGGAAACGAATCTAAAACCTGAGCAAAGTGTTCTGATGAGCGTTTGCTACTTTGAGAAGGCACTACATTTCCGGAACGATCCCGCTTCAGTAGAACGATAGTTTTCTCTGACTCCTCAGACTTTGATGCTGCGCCTTCCAGCTTTCGTTTCAGCTTCTTCACGGTTTCCTGGAACGGAGACGTGTACATAGAGGGAGGAGCAAATGGTTCTCCAGTTCAGCCTGAAACTTTTCGCAACAAAAACCATAACCTGAACCTGTAAGATGCAAAACTTCTTAAGCGATGCCCAAACATCGCAGAGCATAGCGTGAAATCTTTAACTAAATCTTACTTGAGACGATCGAGAACATACCGATTTCACCTAACTTTGCTGCGCTCACTAAGAGCAGACCTGAGTCCTTGCGTCTCTTAGTACACAGAGGCTAGTTGGAAGACCTCCCGTTTGCGAATTGTTTCCCTCTTTTTGAGTTTTTTTTTCAACGTAAATACCCTCCTAGGTTCTGTCGGAGTGATAATGTTCCATCGCTTGCTGTGACCTCTTGATGCGCTTTTGAGTTCTTACCAACCCTCCTTTTCCCACCTGAACCACCCACCCCCCCCCGTCCATAGTTTTCTTGTTTCTTTACATCTTGCTAAAATAGAAGTGTTCATCCAGGTTTCCCTTACAGACTCTACCTAAGGTGAAGCTCTTTAGATTTCTCTCTGGGTCAGACTAGAAAGCGCATATCTAAAACTGTTCCTGCTTCTACCATGTTACAAAAAAAAACTTGCTATGGAATGTTTTTGGACGTTTTCTCAATACCAGCGACCAAGGTTTCAGGCACAGGGACTATTGTTCCTATCGTGATGTTCTGTAGGTGAAAACGATCTTGATGCCACACGAGGCACTGACGCGAGAAGAATGAATTATGATTTGGTGAAGCTCGAGCCGAAATTTTCAAAAAATAATGGTGCAACTGCGGCTTTTTTCCGTCACCTGGTTTGCTTTCAGAAGTACGAAAAAGGTGCAAGATATCACTCTCGAAGGAGTGTTGAAGACAGAACCCGCGATTGCCACTCATGACAGCGACAACATGAATTTCACGGTGCTGATTTAACAGTGAGGAAAAGACAAAAAAGCCAAAAACTCCGCCATGCCGCTCTTAATAACATCCCTTTCGATTCTGAGTGCTATATGAGCGAAGACCTATTGAGAGTAGAGAAGAGAAATATATGGTGATGTGACGAGGCGGAGATAACTGGGACCACCCCCTCCTCTCCCCACCCCGCTGTTAATCGATGGTAAAACCACATGCCAGAGGGGTAGCATTTTGTGAGGGTGAAGATGGCCATCTACAACAGAGCCGTGGCTTTCTTCCCAGCTCTTTCAAGAGACCACAGTCGCACTGCGGACTATCTTAAGCGAGGAAGGGCTTTTGCAGAACAGTTCATAGCAGTCTTCAAATGTAACAAAACCGGAAAAGGTCATCATCATCATCAGCTCATCGTCATGATCTCGAAGCACAGAATCATGACACTATGGCAAAAAAGATAGTGAAATTCGAAACGGTCAAGATTCATGGTTCGTCTTACCGTGTCCCCTCTCATTTCCGCTTTGAGGATCTTCGCGGAGATCTTATTTCTTTCGTCGTCCGTTAAACAGTTGCTGCTCGACAGAGACTCGCGTGTATAGGTGGCTTCTTTGCCACTGACACCGCTTCCTCCTTCACAACCACCCGTTACAAAATCCTAAAAACATTTAAACAATGAATTGCAGTGAAACTGTGGACATTAAAACAATGTCCACTCTTGAGCATTAGTTTTGAAGAGTAAATCAAAATCACAAGGACAACACCTACGGTAAAATTGCCGGGTACCTCCGAAGATTAAAACATGGAGAAATAAAACTATCTACGTAGTTCTACTAACAGAAGTGTTCCTCCTAACATTTTTCGCATGATAGCAACGTCCCTGCACGCCTACCTCAACGCAAGCATTGGGCTGAGTGGTGACTACGTCTGATTGACTGCGGATTAAGTACTATACATTACTCAGATTTTCGAAATGTTTTCCATCAAAAGGAGCAAAAAACATATCTAAATACTCATGAATGTTAGTAAACGATGACTTTTGGTTCCTTGTGTTCACAGGCTCTTGTACTACGTTGCTGTCTACACTTAAACTATGGAATACCGAAAAAGACTTGAGATGTGGAAAGATGATGCGCTTTATCGACATTTTTGAAAATGCCCAATGAAGATGAGCATCTTTTCTTTGTTCCTTGAAAGGACCACAACACCATGCAAAAAATCGCTCTGAAAGAGCGCTGGAACCCTCCTCGCCCTCCTATCCCTGCTCAGAAGCCTACTTACTCTTTTCAGAGTAGTGCAGTACACATTGCAAACCAGTAAGCAAAGTTCACAGTTCCGAAGACGGGAAACGAAGAAATGAGAACATATGACTTTGGAATCGCGCTTAGTGGTGGCTGAATACCATCAGCCTGAGCCCACAAAAGGCTGCGATATACTCTGCCACAAAAGGGGATCGTGGATTTTGAAAAGTCGACGAATTGAGGAGTAGATAGAATCAAAGCAATGGCGAACAAGAATGCGCAACTATCAGTCCACTTTTGCCTAACCACCATTCCTTGAGATTCCATCCATTAGGGGGTCCGGAAAGTTTTGAGAAATTTCAACCAGCTCATTTAACATTTATTAACAACAATAGAAGATATGAACTTATTGTTATAATAAACATTGTCTATCCCATTTCCGTCAATATTTGGGCGGGATTACATTGCGTGGGAGCTAGAATGAAGTGAACATCGAGAATGCGGGGGCGTAAGCAACGCCCTGGCGATATCTGAGCCAAACTTCCATGTGAGAGGCCGATTGGTCTCCTACTACATGTAACTTTGAAGCGTGTTTCAATCCGCATCGAAAACAACGCCTCTTTCCCGAATCGACCGACAGGACAGCCAGAAGCGGTGAACGATGAAGAAAAAGGTATTGAGAGTCGTGAGCGTTCCTACATTTTTCAAGTAACGCCAACTCATACCAACCATGGGGATAACACCAACTAGCACTAGGATTGATCTACAAACATTCCCTCTTTCTCGCAGCACTCGATATACAACTTCGTGCTGGGGCAATCATTTGCTACACTTCTCCAAACTAAAAGTGTGAAATTTTCTCAAAACTTTCCGTACAACCTAATATATTCTCCAGCTCAATACGTATCTAATCTTCTGGTGCATTCGTCGGTTCTCCTGATTCCACGACTCGTCAGTTCTTCAGTTCCTCGGGTGTACCGACAGATTCCTTTCTACTGCTTCTTCGAGCATCACGATTCCGCAATTCGTGAATAAGGCTATTCCTCTCTTTCGCAGTATGAACGGGGGCAACATAGAATGCAAAGCTGCGACAGTAGGCAATAGGCTGTTCACCAAGCGAGTCAATGCTACGCAAACTTAAATACACGCTCTGAGAGAAATTTATCTTAAGAAAAATCACACTATTCCCACAGAGAAGACAACGGTAACTTGGAGACATCCGACTTGACAAAAAGGAAATATAACTAACCTTTCCAGCCATCGCGAGTTTCTGAGCATACTTAGTCGGTAGCGGTTTAGCCTTCACAATACTACCACCATAATAGTCATCGTCCGCTGGTTTCCGAAACATTGTTGACTCTAAAACAATTTTTAACTAGAAACCGGCAATTTGCGAATGTAGTGGAGCTTTTGGTGCAAAACACACAAGCAATTGGAACCACGTCAGACATTCTTTCCGTTAAGCGGTATAAAACACTCTAATGGCCATCGTACAAGAAAATCAGATTTCCGAGCGCTCTCATCATAATCTTGGTATAAAAACCTCAGAATACAACTTCAGGCAAAAAACCTCATTCCCCTGGGAATACAACCTTGTCTTCATTTGTCAGCACTAATGCATGTAAATGCAGTTAAGGCTTAAAAACCATACAACTAGCATAGGAATCAGAGCTTCATAGCTTCAAATGCTCCCGACTATCTTGAGAGATTTGCCATATAGTAACGTAACCTCGTTAGGGTATTAAACCATTACCGTAGCCAAAAATGCCGTAACTTGAACATAATGCACACACGGCCCCGCATTGCACGCCGATCGTGACGAATAGCCAGGATAGGTGATAACACCTCATTTCAGTCGCAGTTTCCAGATGGTTTCGATGACCTGCGTCGAAAAATAGTCGAAAGTCTCTCGGAAGGGAATCTGTTGCATGTATACTTGATTTGCGTGCGGACTCCACTTTTCAGCCTCATGTTGCAATTTTGTCTTGAAATTCAGAAATAGGAACTTGCTCCGTCCCTCGGTAATCATGTGGAAGCCGCAGATTATATCGAGGGAAATGTCTAACCTAATGTCTAGTTTTGTCTAACCTGACCTAAGTCAACTTAGTCATTCCTCTAGTTAATCATTCCAGTCCCCGCTAAATCTACAACAGGAAAAATTCAGGGCCGAGTTCACCGGAGACAACTATTAAGTATTATGCGTCAACTATACAGTAACTATGCGTCTTCGCCAATCAATAATGGAGTTTTGGATTGCGCAACTCGCCGCCACCAAGGCGGTCCGCGAGCGGATCGGGGAAAGCAGCGCCTCTTGCCGGGCTGCCAAGAGTAGCGACGCGGCTGCTTTCGTAAGAGGGGCGAAAGCCTTCTCATTCCGGCTTTCGTTACTGGTAGTGACCAGTCGTGTCGCTAGTTTTTTCTCATTTTTGTTCGAGAGGCAAAGTTTCTGGACATTATTGCCTCCAGTTCTCAGTTCTAGTGCCCAATATAGAAAGTTGCTCTCATGGTATTCGATTCATGCAGTTAATTTGTCTATCGTGTCTGATATTTCATAATCGGTCACCGATCGCCGACAGTGTATTCTGAATTAGAATATTCGTTCAGGTTTAGAGTTTAGCAAGAGGCTGCAGCTCGACGAGCCGTTTATCTGTAATTTTTGTAGCGCAGAATATTTGCGTGCATTTCTTTTATTATTTGTCAAAGTGATATCAGCAGTGGACAGCTATCCACTCGCCAGTAATTTTCTTTTCGTTCGGCGTATACTACAGTGAGCATTTACCTTATCTCCTATTAACTTTTGGCTCTATTTATATATTGTTTCAGAGCTATTCGGGTGTGTGCCATCCGCGAGAAGCTCGCGAAAGTATCTTGGAGACGTCAGGAGCTTCGATGCCGTTACGATAGCTGGGGACAGCTGTCACTACAAGTGTTGTTCTGTATATTTCTCGGTCTTGTTGTCAGTACGATTCTTGTCTGCGTAGAACACTGTACATTTGTAAACACATGTTATGCCTCATGTTTTAACTCGCAGGTTTTTCTTTTCACTTAGCCCTGGCAGGCCAAAAGACTTAAGTTTCGCTTACTACGGCTTTACTCCATGCGAGTCGCAAATAACTACTCATTTTGTGGTCTCACTCTGTATTTTCACAGATTCATTCATTGCTGGTTATCTTACTCCGGTTGATATTACCGATCTCGTCGTCTGGGCCTTCTTCCAGATTTTTCTGCGGTGCTAGCGTAGACTTGCCATTTTGGAAGTCACCGGCTGATGTATATATAACCATTGTTTTCATTGCTTTTCGGGCGTTCAGATACGCTGTTGTTCGGTTTTGTTCCAGTTAAGTTAAGGACGGGGCCTATTCCCTGGTTTACTGTTATACTGTTAAGTTAACCCAATGTTGCTCTGTCTGTTAAGTAGTTATATTGTGTCAGTGGACAGATTCATATTGTTTTGGTATTCGATGTATCGGTCAGCATGGACCGAGCGACACGACATAACGATAAAGCCTATACCCCCCCCCGCTGTTCGAGTTGCGTGAATACAAAACGGAGGTTTCGTCGTAGAGTATCGGAGATGAAACCCGATATTTCAGCCATTGCATTTTCTGAGGAATCTGTTGTTTTCTTCGATATCCTCGGCGTCTTCAGCTGTATTCCTACTCTACGCTGCATAATTCTAATTTACTACGTCTGATTATTCTGCTGCTGCTCGCTGTGAGCTATATTCTCGTCTGAACGTCTGATTTTCAAGGACGTTTATTTTCTACTATTATTATTTCTGCTTTCCAATGAAGACATCGTCAAACTCAAACGTGAGTTTTTTTTCTCTACTGTGCTTTGCATGCTTATAGCTTTTTTTTCGATGAGACATTGCTGTTCTTTGATTTATAGTATGCAAGCCCGCATTGAGTATTCTACGGTGCACTTTCGCACCACTATTCTTCTTCAACTTTTTTTCTCTTCTTTCTTCATCCTGATAATCGTTTCGAATTCTTCTTTCTCATAATAGTTTGCTAGTACGGGATTGAAGCGGGGTGGAACGTTTGCGATTCCACACGTTTTCACTTTTGTGCTGGCAGTAACGAAAGTTTGCATTTTTTTTCATGACACTGTCTTCGAGATATATTCTCTAATTCCTAGAACATTTTAATAGTAATCACTAATTGGCTACTATTCGCAAACCTGCTACGCACTGTAGGAATTTTGATTGTCTAGTGGTACTTGTCTCGCCTGATCCAGTATGCACGATTTTTTGTGGTAACTATCCAGTTCATCTTTGTACAACTGTAAGCCTTACTACTACCATGGATATTCCGTTGCTCTAGAAGTACTACAATGAAGAGGCTTTTACGTGTCTTTCTGAAAAGCCGTAACATTTTACAGGGTCGCGGAACCTAAGGAGTGGTTTAAACTGTAGAAGGTATGAGGTACATTCATTACTCTCTTATGACCAATTGTGGTTTTTTTAATATTCCTCTACCTATTGGTTGTCCTTACGGCAATGCCGAATCTGTAAATGATTCACGATCGTCGAAGACCCTTAGCTCGACACTATGTTCCCTGTTACTGCTTCACGTGCAACGGCAAGTCTAGGTTGCTGTCACAATGAATATGCAATTGTGCATCAACCGTGATTGTGCTGGTTCACTAAGCGGAAATGCATCCCTCGCTGAACTGAACAGTGGAAGACAAAAAAAACCGCTCAGCATATAATCGTGTCCTCTTTCGCAATGAGCATCTATGCGGCTCATCGTCACATCCACCGTGCATAATTCCCATAGGACCTGTAAGCAGTCGAAAAATAGATGAATTATCATCACATTATCTACTTCCTTAATTGATAGCCGCCGGTCTTCAGAACGTACCGCGGCTTTCTTGCCAAGTTTTTTTTGACATATTTTAGAACATCATCAGCTATAATTTCATATCGGTATCACTGCAGCTTCTATTCACAGTTACTTTCGAATCTTTTAATTTGTCTTTGAAGTTCCGAGTGCCCGATCTGTCATAAAGAGATGACCAAGTATAATGTCCGTCCTCATTTGCGCACTGTACACAACCTTTCCCCTGGAAGAGCTGGAGAACTTGTGGCGCAGAAGAAAAAGACAGCATTAGAAAGTCAGGGAAAGCAAGTGGAGATGTGCAACGAGTGCGGAGCTGCTTTTCCACGAGAAGAGGATTGACAATACACTTAGAACTCTAAGCATCGCGGAACGGTTGATGTTGCTAGGACTGCAGAACAGGAAAGTCGCACTCCAACTTTGAAGTGTTGCCTTTGTGAAGGCGCTTTTAAAACGCAAGAAGAACTCAGTCAGCACTGTGGTAGGGAACACACCGAAGATTCTGAAAGACCTCAAGATTATACAGTGCATAGGATGTCCTTTTCAAGTTCGGAAGAATACAAGGTCGGCAACCATATTTACGATAGATACTCACGAACAAAATCGTTTATTTAGGAATGGTTTGAAAGAATGTGTGAGGTGCACTGCACATCATTTTTCTGCAGATCGAGTGGAGCGAACCAGAAGAAACTGTTTATGAGGTCTGATAATTCATACTTTCTAGGTAGATTCCACGAATACGAATATACACACATAAGGCTGTAAGTTAGCTATTATGCAGGTGCAACCGTTGTGATGAAGGCAGATCTCAGGATGAACAACGTATTCGTATAACCAAGGAAGTTCGTCCTCATTGCTCTGCTTTTGCGAACGTGCATTTCAATGAAGACGGTACTGTTTCCGTGGTAGCATGCTTTGGTCACATTGGGCACGACCTCGATCCGGTCCTACTTCGGTGGACTGACGATCAAATAGAGTATCTGAAGCTCATGCTACAAGGTAGATTATCACACCACACAAGGACTTAATAACTGCGAATTTTCTCACCTTTCAGAGTTTTCAACAGATTACATAGTACACAAAATGAGGAAGGATCACGAATCCAAAGACTCTAAGTTGTACTTCATAACAAAAAGAGATCTCTGGAATATTATGGCTAAGTACAACCTAAACCCCGGACAGCGCGATAGAGATGATCTCACATCTCTGAGAATGAGGGAGGAAGAAAGAAATCCCGATGACGGGATACGTTTCTTCAAAATGCCGGACGATCCAACTGGAAAAGGTTTTGTTCTAGGTAAGTTCCGTTCATCACTAACAATGTATATTTCTGAAAAACCCTTTTATAGTCATCATCACGCCTCTCCAGCAGAAGTGGCTGGAACAGTATGGCCATAGGGGCATTTCGGTCGACGATACTCACAACGTCACCAGATATGCCTTGAAGTTGGCGACTGTAATGGTTGTTGAGCGTGACCGGGGCCTACCCGCAGGTACTCAGGGCCTCATCACCTTATATAACCGCAGTACTTTTTATTTAGCTTTCTTGCTGTCGGGTGAGATGACTTCAAGAGAAGTGGCGATACTTTTCGATGAAGTCAAACGGATAGTGCCCAACTTTGCCCCAAGGTCACTTGGTGACAGATGAAGCCTTGGCTTTCTACAATGGCTTCATGCTCTCTTTCCCAAACAAGATGTGGACCATTTCTTGTGCAGGTTTCATATCCTGCAATCCTGGAAACGCAAAACAAAGGAGTGTGTCAAGGTGAAACATGATATTGTGTATCATCTGGAATGTGTTGGAATCGAAATTTTAGAAAGACCTACAGAGGCATCATCGGAGCCTTCAGAAATCTGCTTCATCGGCGATGAAGCAACTTTTTACGCGAAGCTCACTGAGATTTTGATGCACCTCCGAGTCAAAGGCTGTTCGCGTCTGATTCAGTACCTTCAACGCGAATATCTTGGTAGGAGCAGTGCTGTTGGAAGAACATCTCAACACAGTTTTGTATTAAGGACCCGAAAAAATCAAGCAATGGGCTGCGTTTGAACGAAGGGGTGTGGTAATGAGCACTTCGATGTTTAGAGAGACATGGCACTTCCGGATCAAACCAAGAAAAGCTCAAAAGGAAGGCAAGAGTTGACTACGCTGCGGATGTGTTGATTAAGGCCGTGGATGAATTGGCGGTAGAGTTCGAGATAACGGTAAGTACTTTACTCCCGTTTACAGCCGACATTATCTTCATTACTTACAGGATCGTAGTCAGCTCAGCTCGTTTTTCCGCGTGAGAGAGAACAACGTACAGCACAGGCTTGCTGTTCAACTGTACAAGGGAAACATGGACAGCATCCACAAGGTTGGAGACATGACGTGGAATGTAGATGCTACGACATCGGAGACGGTGTACCGCGTCGAATTCGTTGAGCAGTGCACTTGTCCTGTTCAGGTTTGTGACCACAGACTTTTAAAGTAATCTATGAGTAATAATCGGAATTGTTTCAAGGCCAATACGCACTGGTTCGATGTCATGTATGTCCTTATACAGGGACCTGTTCATGCAGAGCTGGAGCTCTCGCTGGAGTAGCATGTGCACACAGCCATGCAGTGAAACTCTACGGTGCAAAATTGTTAACCAAGAACGTGACCCATTCTCGTAATCCACTCAAATTCACTAAATTCAGGAAGCGAGCCTGTTATGGAACCGCCTGTGTACCTTCCACTAGAAAGTGAACCACGAGAACTCGAGCTCCACCACACTGAAAGAGAGGTCAGGGCTCTCCGTGATGTGCGTGGGAGCCTCCACGCAGTTCGTGATGAGATTGCTAGGGTAAGTTAGGTAGGCATCAGAAATTTCAAATACGATGGAACGTTTACGATGGAGCTATGTCTTGATCAATGCGAAGGTGAACGCGCTAGTCAACGACAGCGCTCTCGAAACTCTCTCGATGATCGCGGAGCGCATGAGCATACTAGCCAATGAAGTCAATGTGCCGCTCAGAGGCATAGCACTTATTGCGAGACCTGATGTGTCGCCTACTGGAGGCAGACCGCAGTTAGAAAGGCAAGAAATGTATACGGTACGTTTGGGATTTGCGTGAACACTCAACATGGTTGCCTTGTATCATACAGTTGCAGAGAGCTCGCATTCGCAAACAGATGAGAAGAAGATCGCAATCGGCCGAGACCGTACAAGTCAACCCTGAGGACATACTACTCTGCTTTCAGGAGGACCCCGTCCTGCCTGAAGACATGGACCCAGAAGAAACCCGATGCAAAGGGAAAATCGGCAGTGGATGCGAATCAACAACTCGGCAGAGTGGCGTGGGGTCAATGGCAGTAATATGGACGAGGTGCTGTGCGACGTCAAATTGTAATGGCCTGTAAAACCGGTCAGGTATGGCATTTATGTATGAAGTGCCCAAGGACCCAGGGGACAGAGGACGAAGTAATGCACAAATGTGGATGTTAGTAACCTATTGTAAATATTGTATTCATTATGTAAATAACAGTGTAAATCAGCATCCATGATCGACTTTCAATGAATCTTGGCATCGTGTGAGGTCGTTCTGATTAGATTTTGTAACCACAGCCAAGATCTTAACAACTTTTATTTGGCTGACGTTTCGGCCTTGTCGCCTTCGTCGGAGCCTGGAAAGTCAAAGATAAGGTGACCTATCGCCGAATGCCATTTCAAACTTAAGGACAGCTCACCGTAGACTAAAGGCGTCTAGGGAGGTCTCGTACCTCACAAGCACAAAAGTAACTCACCTTAGGAACGCACGGCTAGCTCGAGTTTCGACCACCGCTAAACTGACTCACTGTGCACGGCTTCAGCTGACCCGACCCCTCGACCCGAAGCCGATGGCAATTGAAGCCCACACAGGTCAGCGAAGGGGGCGAGCTCACTCGTTATGGCTAGGCATTCATCTTTCCTGTTCAACTTGGGGTCTTTGGCGCGTATCCAGAAGGCCTCCAAAGTTTTCCGGTCTGAAGTGCGAGGCTCTCGCGACAAGATCCTGACAGAGACTTGGAACTCCGCCCCTCCGTGCCCGTACACCCTGTGTCCACCTAGGGGGGTCTGAGGTCTCGATTTCTTCATCCCATCCAGATGTTCCTTAACCCTGGAGCAGAGTGGTCGCCCGGTTTCGCCGATGTATTCGTCCCCACAGAGGGTGCATGAGATCAGGTAGATCACACCTGATGCCATGCAGTCACCCTGCTGCCCATGTGGGCAGACAACACAATGGGGGGTAAGGCAATACCGGTCGTACCAGCGATTGCGGACCAACTGCTGCTTGAGGGACGCGGGAGGGATCTCGACCACCCGAACCATTGAGTCAAGGCTGGACCTGCGTAGGGCCATTCTTACGGCGAAGCTGATCCCATCACTGACGAAGGGCAAAGTAAAACGGCACCTTCTCGGAATCCTCGTTCGCACCCCTATCTCCTCGCCTGCTGGGTGGTCCAGGAAGAGGTCCATCTTTCGGAGGGTAACCGTTGGAGATAGCTATCTTCCGCGCAAGCTCCAGAGACTCCGCTTTCTCCTGATCACCCGAGGAGACCACTTTCGCCGTCCTGAACATGTTCCTGGTGATGGCCTGTTTTGTCCTCACTGGGTGCGCCGACCGGAAATGGACCAAGATGTTCTTGTTGCTCGGCTTGCGGTACCACTTCGTCCGATACCACCCCCGCTCAAGTTGAATCTGTATGTTGAGGAAAGGAAGCCAGGTGTTCACTGGCTTCTCACGGGTGAATCGGATATTTGGTGCCTGGTTGTTCAGCAAGCTGAAGCACCGTAGCCATTTCTCCCGCCGTAGAACACACAATAAGGCAGTCGTCTATGTACCGGCGGTACAAAATGGGTCGGCGCTCCAAGGAGGGGCATCTCTATCCTGGACATGTAGGCTATGGCCAGGACAGGTGCCAACCTCTGACCCATTGCCAGGCCCCTGATCTGCTTCCACTCATACATCAATTCTCCTTTGTCAGTGATGGGATCAGCTTCGCCGTAAGAATGGCCCTACGCAGGTCCAGCCTTGACTCAATGGTTCGGGTGGTCGAGATCCCTCCCGCGTCCCTCAAGCAGCAGTTGGTCCGCAATCGCTGGTACGACCGGTATTGCCTTACCCCCCATTGTGTTGTCTGCCCACATGGGCAGCAGGGTGACTGCATGGCATCAGGTGTGATCTACCTGATCTCATGCACCCTCTGTGGGGACGAATACATCGGCGAAACCGGGCGACCACTCTGCTCCAGGGTTAAGGAACATCTGGATGGGATGAAGAAATCGAGACCTCAGACCCCCCTAGGTGGACACAGGGTGTACGGGCACGGAGGGGCGGAGTTCCAAGTCTCTGTCAGGATCTTGTCGCGAGAGCCTCGCACTTCAGACCGGAAAACTTGGAGGCCTTCTGGATACGCGCCAAAGACCCCAAGTTGAACAGGAAAGATGAATGCCTAGCCATAACGAGTGAGCTCGCCCCCTTCGCTGACCTGTGTGGGCTTCAATTGCCATCGGCTTCGGGTCGAGGGGTCGGGTCAGCTGAAGCCGTGCACAGTGAGTCAGTTTAGCGGTGGTCGAAACTCGAGCTAGCCGTGCGTTCCTAAGGTTAGTTGCTTTGTGCTTGTGAGGTACGAGACCTCCCTAGACGCCTTTAGTCTACGGTGAGCTGTCTTAAGTTTGAAATGGCATTCGGCGGTAGGTCACCTTATCTTTGACTTTCCAGGCTCCGACGAAGGCGACAAGGCCGAAACGTAAGCCAAATAAAAGTTGTTAATATCTTGGCTGTGGTTACAAAATCTAATCAGAAAGAGTTCTAAATATTATTGTTTGTATATAATTGTGTAAATAGGAATGTAACTATTGTTGTAAGCACTACTTTACGACTCGCACATATTTCTAATAAGATTTACGAAGATGTTAGTATAGATTCACATTTGATGACAAGCACACGCATGCAACAACATTCACATAGAGATCACAGGGTAATCTCCCGAAACCAGAAAGTACCACGACCTTAATGATTCACGGATGCGGAATTCCCGTGACAACAATTAAGGTTGACGGACTCAAACTTGGTTGCATGAATAGCCGGCGTTAACATTAAAGGAATGGTCACGTAGCACCTCCCTCACTTTAGAAGAAATGCTTGGCAGGAGTAAGGTACTGTACACACTGGTGGCCCCTTTTATAGCGTGCCCTTCCCGCGCAATTAGGTCACAATCGATATTCTGATCACATCAAAACATACAAACTGACCCAACATGGTGATGATTCCAGTAAAAAAACAAAAAAACAAAAACATGTTTCATGTTTTTTTTTCGCCAGCACAAAATGAAAACGTGCGGAACCGCGAACGTTCCACCTTGCTTTAGTTGTTTAGTGAATTGTTATGAGAAAGGGAAACAAGAAACAGATGCTAGAGTGAACCAATAACAGGAAAAACTTGGCGGCGAATAGTGGCGTGAAATATAGAACACTGACTATTGGACTTGAGGAAATGAAAATGGAAAGAAAATAAAGCAGTCTCACCGAAAGAAAAAGCTATAAGCATGCAAAGCACAAAGAAAAAAAACTGCCACGTCTTGAGTTGACGACGGTTTTCATTGGAAGCAGAAATAATATAGTCAGGAAAATAACATAGGGTCCTTGAAAATCAGACGTTCAGACGAGAATATAGCACACAGCGAGCAGCAGCAGAATAATCAGACTTAGTAAATTAGAATTAGCGTAGAGTAGAGTGCAGCAATAAGTGCAACGTATGGGGATCGCAAAAGTTCCACCCCGCTTCATTCCCGTACTAGCAAACTACTATGAGAAAGAAGAATTCGAAAGATTATCAGGATGATGAAAGAAGAGAAAAAAAATTTGAAGAAGAATAGTGGTGGCGAAAGTGGCACCGTAGAATACTCATGTGGCTGCATTTATTATAAATCAAAGAACAGCAATGTCTCATCGAAAAAAGCTATAAGCATGCAAAGCACAGTAGAGAAAAAAAAACTCACGTTTGAGTTGACGATGTCTTCATTGGAAAGCAGAAATAATAATAGTAGAAAATAAACGTCCTTGAAAATCAGACGTTCAGACGAGAATATAGCTCACAGCGAGCAGCAGCAGAATAATCAGACGTAGTAAATTAGAATTATGCAGCGTAGAGGAATACAGCTGAAGACGCCGAGAATATCGAAGAAAACAACAGGTTCCTCAGAAAATGCAATGGCTTGAATATATCGGGCCTCATTTGGGCAAGTTCCGCACAGCTATGCGAAGAATCCGTGAGGATTGTCAGAGAAGATCTCAGACTAGCGGGTGTCGCTACGGCGGACGCTAAGTGCTGTTGGACACCGGTCCAGAGAATCACGTGGTTAGGACATGTTATTGATCTGCAGACCTTTAAGTTAGATATCACGTCTGAAAGAAGAGATAAGATCAGAGCTCTCTTTCATCAGTTGTTGGGCAGTAGAGGCCCGTCCTTGTTGGACAGATTGAAGTGGTTAGGCTATATCGCCTCGTTATATCTGATAATTCCTTCAGAGCTGAAGAAGAGATGGCGAACCATGGTTGCCGTTGTAGCAGATAAACAAGCCAAAGGCACGGCCTTATCTTTTCGCTGGAGTTTGTCGGCGGAAGAGAGGAGTGAGTTACAAAGTTGGCAAGAATTTGACTCTTCTTTTTCGGGTATTTCCGTTATGATTCCCTCGGATACTCCTGAGCCTTCCGTCACAGTGTTTTCAGAATCAGGCTCAGGCGCGGTGTTGTACAGTGACGGGCATTCCGAGATTACAGCAGCATCTCCGCTCCCCTCGATTCGCGATTTTAGCAAAAGCCTTCGGCAGTCGCTTAAGTTTCCAGCATTGCATCTGGTACACGGATAGTCAGTGTGCAGTGCGCATTCTCAGCAAAGGGAGTTTGAAACCTGATTACAGTGTCTAGCCCTTAAAATCTGGGATCTGTGCGATGCTCTGCACACAAGCATAGACTTTGTGTGGATTCCCTAGGGCCCTTCAACGGCGAAGCAGATATCGCCTCTAGATTTGTCGATTTGGATGATTGGTCCATTGCTGACCACGTGGTGGCAGAGCTCAGGAGATCCTGGGGGGATTCCCAGGTAGATTTATTCGCATCTGCGAAGTCAGCGAAATGCAAGAAATTCGTTTTTAGGGTCGCCTGCGAGGCAGCCAGTGGCTTCGACGCGTTTTCTCCGGAGTGCTCTCGATTCCTGGAAGACAGATTTCTGCTGGTGGGTGCCACCTCCTTATCTTATTCCAAAAACATTGAGTTGGGCAAGGTTGCATCGTAGCAAAGGCATCTTGGGATTTCCTATGTGGCCTTCTAACATGTTCTTTCCTTTGCTGAGACAAGGAGGGACGTGGATCCAGCAGATTAGACAAATCGTTATTTTTCCAGCGGGTACTCCTGTGTAACAGGGCTCGTCCCCTTCCTTCACATTCAGTTCCCCAACGTTGAAGTTCGATTTTGCTTTCGTTTCCCTGTCCTTCTGACCCCCTCCGGGCTTCAATACTTTCCGCTGTCGAGTTGCGTGAATACAAAACGGAGGTTTCGTCGTAGAGTATCGGAGATGAAAATGGAGTTTTGGATTGCGCAACTCGCCGCCACCAAGGCGGTCCCGAGCGGATCGGGGAAAGCAGCGCCTTGGCTGCCAAGAGTAGCGACGCGGCTGCGTCGCGGCCACGCTGCTTTCGTAAGAGGGGCGAAAGCCTCCTCATTCCGGCTTTCGTTACTGGTCGAGACTCCCTCCCTCCCACCCTCAAGTACCGTTTTTGACTCATATCTGCTCACCGCTCTTTTAGGCCCATCATTGGCTACCCGCTTCGGAGCCGCATCGAAGACAGCAAGCCTAGCAGCAGAGCTAGGCCTAGATGAGGTCGCTGAGATAATACAGAAGTGTATTGATAACTCAGTAGCGCCTGGAACGTTGAATATATATAAAAGAGTCAAAATCCGTTTCCTGACCTACGGCCAATCGGTGGGCTTACCAGCAAGGGAACTCCCCAAGCTGCGGAACATCTTCCTAGCCCATCTCATCCAGAAAGGGGAGGATAGAGCACTGGGTTATCATGTGGCCGCGTTTGGCACATTTTTTCGGACCCCTGCCGCAGGACGACGCGGACATCCAGAGTGCTCCTGAGGGGAGCCAAGAGGACCAGGCTTCCAGTTAAGCACCGGAGCAAGGCGTCTCGGGAAGACGTCGACCTCATCGTCGGGTGCGCGCTCAGAGTTGAAGACTCCCTGGGTGATCACGGCGGCCACCAGCATTTTATTAGCCTTCACGGCTTTACTGCGGGTCAGCGAAGTTAGAGCGCTCCAATTCGCGGACTTCTCTTATCGCGAGGGCGTAGTATGGTGGATACGGATAAATGGTCCAAAACGGATCAGTCCGGGCTGGGGAGCACTGTGGTGGTTAAGTGGTGCCTGCAAGAGACCCTGTTGTGGCAGGCCTTCTGTAGGCTTAGGGAGCCCCTTCTGCCTCATAAATTCCTTTTCAGTGGGGCTTCCGGAGAGGCTTCCTACAGGGATTGTGTGGCTAAAAGGATTAAGAAGGTGGTCGCTGCAGCGGGGCTTCAGCATAAAAACCTCACATCGCACTCATTTAGAGGCGGTGCGGCCACCCATGCCATCAGACAGGGTGTGGATTCCGGTAGGGTATGCTGCAGGCCGCTGGAAATCCTTCGAGGCCTTTAGCTGCTATATAGAGCCTTCCCCCCTATAAGGTCCCTTTTGGCTCTATTTATATATTGTTTCAGAGCTATTCGGGTGTGTGCCATCCGCGAGAAGCTCGCGAAAGTATCTTGGAGACGTCAGGAGCTTCGATGCCGTTACGATAGCTGGGGACAGCTGTCACTACAAGTGTTGTTCTGTATATTTCTCGGTCTTGTTGTCAGTACGATTCTTGTCTGCGTAGAACACTGTACATTTGTAAACACATGTTATGCCTCATGTTTTAACTCGCAGGTTTTTCTTTTCACTTAGCCCTGGCAGGCCAAAAGACTTAAGTTTCGCTTACTACGGCTTTACTCCATGCGAGTCGCAAATAACTACTCATTTTGTGGTCTCACTCTGTATTTTCACAGATTCATTCATTGCTGGTTATCTTACTCGGTTGATATTACCGATCTCGTCGTCTGGGCCTTCTTCCAGATTTTTCTGCGGTGCTAGCGTAGACTTGCCATTTTGGAAGTCACCGGCTGATGTATATATAACCATTGTTTTCATTGCTTTTCGGGCGTTCAGATACGCTGTTGTTCGGTTTTGTTCCAGTTAAGTTAAGGACGGGGCCTATTCCCTGGTTTACTGTTATACTGTTAAGTTAACCCAATGTTGCTCTGTCTGTTAAGTAGTTATATTGTGTCAGTGGACAGATTCATATTGTTTTGGTATTCGATGTATCGGTCAGCATGGACCGAGCGACACGACATAACGATAAAGCCTATACCCCCCCCCCCGCTGTTCGAGTTGCGTGAATACAAAACGGAGGTTTCGTCGTAGAGTATCGGAGATGAAACCCGATATTTCAGCCATTGCATTTTCTGAGGAATCTGTTGTTTTCTTCGATATTCTCGGCGTCTTCAGCTGTATTCCTACTCTACGCTGCATAATTCTAATTTACTACGTCTGATTATTCTGCTGCTGCTCGCTGTGAGCTATATTCTCGTCTGAACGTCTGATTTTCAAGGACGTTTATTTTCTACTATTATTATTTCTGCTTTCCAATGAAGACATCGTCAACTCAAACGTGAGTTTTTTTTCTCTACTGTGCTTTGCATGCTTATAGCTTTTTTTTTCGATGAGACATTGCTGTTCTTTGATTTATAGTATGCAAGCCCGCATTGAGTATTCTACGGTGCACTTTCGCACCACTATTCTTCTTCAACTTTTTTTCTCTTCTTTCTTCATCCTGATAATCGTTTCGAATTCTTCTTTCTCATAATAGTTTGCTAGTACGGGATTGAAGCGGGGTGGAACGTTTGCGATTCCCACACGTTTTCACTTTTGTGCTGGCAGTAACGAAAGTTTGCATTTTTTTTCATGACACTGTCTCGAGATATATTCTCTAATTCCTAGAACATTTTAATAGTAATCACTAATTGGCTACTATTCGCAAACCTGCTACGCACTGTAGGAATTTTGATTGTCTAGTGGTACTTGTCTCGCCTGATCCAGTATGCACGATTTTTTGTGGTACTATTAATCCAGTTCATCTTTGTACAACTGTAAGCCTTACTACTACCATGGATATTCCGTTGCTCTAGAAGTACTACAATGAAGAGGCTTTTACGTGTCTTTCTGAAAAGCCGTAACATTTTACAGGGTACGCGGAACCTAAGGAGTGGTTTAAACTGTAGAAGGTATGAGGTACATTCATTACTCTCTTATGACCAATTGTGGTTTTTTTAATATTCCTCTACCTATTCGTTGTCCTTACGACAATGCCGAATCTGTAAATGATTCACGATCGTCGAAGACCCTTAGCTCGACACTATGTTCCCTGTTACTGCTTCACGTGCAACGGCAAGTCTAGGTTGCTGTCACAATGAATATGCAATTGTGCATCAACCGTGATTGTGCTGGTTCACTAAGCGGAAATGCATCCCTCGCTGAACTGAACAGTGGAAGACAAAAAAAACCGCTCAGCATATGATCGTGTCCTCTTTCGCAATGAGCATCTAAGCAGCCCATCGTCACATCCACCGTGAACAATTCCCATTAGGACCTGTAAGCAGTCGAAAGATAGATGAATTATCATCACATTAATCTACTTCCTTAATTGACAGCCGCCGGTCTCCAGAACGTACCGCGGCTTTCTTGCCAAGTTTTTTTTGACATATTTTAAGAACTTTCATCAGCTATAATTTCATATCGGTATCAGTGCAGCTTCTATTCACAGTTACTTTCGAATCTTTTAATTTGTCTTTCAAGATATTTGAGAGAAATGGATTCGTCGCGTTCCGAGTGTCCGATCTGTCATAAAGAGATGACCAAGTATAATGTCCGTCCTCATTTGCGCACTGTACACAACCTTTCCCCTGGAAGAGCTGGAGAACTTGTGGCGCAGAAGAAAAAGACAGCATTAGAAAGTCAGGGAAAGCAAGTGGAGATGTGCAACGAGTGCGGAGCTGCTTTTTCCACGAGAAGAGGATTGACAATACACTTGAACTCCAAGCATCGCGGAACGGTTGATGTTGCTAGGACTGCAGAACAGGAAAGTCGCACTCCAACTTTGAAGTGTTGCCTTTGTGAAGGCGCTTTTAAAACGCAAGAAGAACTCAGTCAGCACTGTGGTAGGGAACACACCGAAGATTCTGAAAGACCTCAAGATTATACAGTGCATAGGATGTCCTTTTCAAGTTCGGAAGAATACAAGGTCGGCAACCATATTTACGATAGATACTCACAAAAAGTCGTTTATTAAGGAATGGTTTGGAAGAATGTGTGAGGTGCACTGCAGTTCATTTTTCTGCAGGTCAAGTGGAGCTAACCAGAAGAAACTGTTTATGAGGTCTGATAATTCATACTTTCTAGGTAGATTCCACGAACCGAATATACACACATAAGCCTATAAGTTAGCTATTATGCAGGTGCAACCGTTGTGGTGAAGGCAGATCTCAGGGTGAACAGCGTATTCGTATAACCAAGAAAGTTCATCCTTATTGCTCTGCTTTTGCGAACGTGCATTTCAATGAAGACGATACTGTTTCCGTGGTAGCATGCTTTGGTCACATTGGGCACGACCTCGATCCGGCCCTACTTCGGTGGACTGACGATCAAATAGAGTATCTGAAGCTCATGCTACAAGGTAGATTATAACACCACACAAGGACTTAATAACTGCGAATTTTCTCACCTTTCAGAGTTTTCAACAGATTACATAGTACACAAAATGAGGAAGGATCACGAATCCAAAGACTCTAAGTTGTACTTCATAACAAAAAGAGATCTCTGGAATATTATGGCTAAGTACAACCTAAACCCCGGACAGCGCGATAGAGATGATCTCACATCTCTGAGAATGAGGGAGGAAGAAAGAAATCCCGATGACGGGATACGTTTCTTCAAAATGCCGGACGATCCAACTGGAAAAGGTTTTGTTCTGGGTAAGTTCCGTTCATCACTAACAATGTATATTTCTGAAAAACCCTTTTATAGTCATCATCACGCCTCTCCAGCAGAAGTGGCTGGAACAGTATGGCCATAGGGGCATTTCGGTCGACGACACTCACAACGTCACCAGATATGCCTTGAAGTTGGCGACTGTAATGGTTGTTGAGCGTGACCGGGGCCTACCCGCAGGTACTCAGGGCTTCATCACCTTATATAACCGCAGTACTTTTTATTTAGCTTTCTTGCTGTCGGGTGAGATGACTTCAAGAGAAGTGGCGATACTTTTCGATGAAGTCAAACGGGTGCCCAACTTTGCCCCAAAGGTCACTGGTGACAGATGAAGCCTTAGCTTTCTACAATGGCTTCATGCTCTCTTTCCCAAACAAGATGTGGACCATTTCTTGTGCAGGTTTCATATCCTGCAATCCTGGAAACGCAAAACAAAGGAGTGTGTCAAGGTGAAACATGACATTGTGAATCATCTGAGAATGTGTTGGAATCGTAATTTTAGAAAGACCTACAGAGAGGCATTATCGGAGCCTTCAGAAATCTGCTTCATTCGGCGATGAAGCAACTTTTTACGCGAAGCTCACTGAGATTTTGATGCACCTCCGAGTCAAAGGCTGTTCGCGTCTGATTCAGTACCTTCAACGCGAATATCTTGGTAGGAGCAGTGCTGTTGGAAGGACATCTCAACACCGTTTTGTATTAAGGACCCGAAAAAATCAAGCAATGGGCTGCGTTTGAACGAAGGGGTGTTGTAATGAGCACATCCATGTTTGGAGAGAGATGGCACCTTCGAATTAAACAAGAGAAGCTCAAAAGGAAGGCAAATGCAAGAGTAGACTACGTTGCGGATGTGTTGATTAAGGCCGTGGAATGAATTGGCGGTAGAGTTCGAGATAACGGTAAGTACTTCACTCCCGTTTACAGCCGACATTAATCTTCATTACTTACAGGATCGTAGACAGCTCAGCTCGTCTTTCCGCGTGAGAGAGAACAACGTACAGCACAGGCTTGCTGTTCAGCTGTACAAGGGAAACATGGACAGCATCCACAAGGTTGGGGACATGACGTGGAATGTAGATGCTACGACATCGGAGACGGTGTACCGCGTCGAATTCGTTGAGCAGTGCACTTGTCCTGTTCAGGTTTGTGACCACAGACTTTTAAAGTAATCTATGAGTAATAATCGGAATTGTTTCAAGGCCAATACGCACTGGTTCGATGTCATGTATGTCCTTATACAGGGACCTGTTCATGCAGAGCTGGAGCTCTCGCTGGAGTAGCATGTGCACACAGCCATGCAGTGAAACTCTACGGTGCAAAATTGTTAACCAAGAACGTGACCCATTCTCGTAATCCACTCAAATTCACTAAATTCAGGAAGCGAGCCTGTTATGGAACCGCCTGTGTACCTTCCACTAGAAAGTGAACCACGAGAACTCGAGCTCCACCACACTGAAAGAGAGGTCAGGGCTCTCCGTGATGTGCGTGGGAGCCTCCACGCAGTTCGTGATGAGATTGCTAGGGTAAGTTAGGTAGGCATCAGAAATTTCAAATACGATGGAACGATTCCGATGGAGCTATGCCTTGATCAATGCGAAGGTGAACGCGCTAGTCAACGACAGCGCTCTCGAAACTCTCTCGATGATCGCGGAGCGCATGAGCATACTAGCCAATGAAGTCAATGTGCCGCTCAGAGGCATAGCACTTATTGCGAGACCTGATGTGCCGCTTACTGGAGGCAGACCGCAGTTAGAAAGGCAAGAAATGTATACGGTACGTTTGGGATTTGCGTGAACACTCAACATGGTTGCCTTGTATCATACAGTTGCAGAGAGCTCGCATTCGCAAACAGATGAGAAGAAGATCGCAATCGGCCGAGACCGTACAAGTCAACCCTGAGGACATACTATTTTGCTCACTCTGTTTTTAGGAGGACCCCGTCCTGCCTGAAGACATGGACCCAGAAG